AGAAGGGAGCTACTTTTCCCTATATCTCTCATGAGCTAAGAAACCTCTCCCAAAAGACTCCAATCATGTTTCATTGGCCAGGGCTCCTGGCCTGGAATAAGAAGAGGTCATACTTGCCCTAATTAGGTACAGACTCCCAGCCTTGATGTCTGGGATGGAGATCCCCCCCCCCATTCCCCTGAAGGCTGAGACTGAAAACACTTCCAGTCTTTAAAAAAAAAATCCAGGAGTAACTAACTGGTAAGAGAAAACTCTACACAGTTCCTCTCTATTTTCTGGGCAGGGGGGCATGGTAGCTTTGTTCTCATGTCTTTAAGATTATGAGGGGAGACAGACAGAGGTAGATGACAGAGATGCTGGCTTCCCCCAAAGCAGAGGCTATATTTGTTTCATGACCAGGACAATAATGAACAGTGTCTCTCCAAGACCCCAAATGAGACAGGTTTGCTAACAGTGCCTTGAAAAATCCAGGTTTTCTAAGTGCAGCAGGCATAGTTCATGTAAGGCACCAACTTAGCTGACCCTATGACTTTGGGGTAGCAGGTGAGAGAAACCAGGATGACTCTGAAGCTCATGTTGCCTGCTGTATTATTACCACGAGTCCTTGTCTCATACCCAGGAGCCTCTGCCTGCCTCATGAAATTGTGTTCATTTAACTTATTAGCTTCAAGAGAAGGAAAATACAAAGCAAAACAGTCTTCAACACTCCTGTAAAGGCAATCAGTCCTGTTTGCTATCTGCATTCTTTCCAGTGAGTCATGCTATATGTAGCCCAGTTCTCAAATGCTTGTTTCTGGAAATATCTTCATTATATAAGAAATCCCTTCTGTACAGAGAGAGACAGACAGGGCAGCACTTCAGTCTCCAAGTAAAGACACACATTAACTGAGCAGTGTCACTGGCTGTGGTGTCTTCTCTGCTGCCTCTCTTTATTCGCTCACTGACTCTCTCTGTAATTATCTTTCTTGAAATGTCAGCTGCTCTCACCCAGAAGGCCAAGGGCAATCAGCCACAAACTGAATGCTAGAAGCTTTTTAAAACATACTTGCTGGCTGGGAGAAGGAATTTCTCAAAGGAGTCCCTTAGTGGTGTCAAGGCAGCTGACATTGAGTGACTGAGACAGAGAAACCCTTCCCTTCCTTTGCACCTTCTGCAGCAGAGCTGGAAGAAAGGGTCCTGGAACTGTACTATTTGAGATGGCCCCGGGGTCTTGAGCCCCAATTCCTGAACCCTCATGGGAATGAGGAGCAATAGCCAGGTCCTGGAAAACTTCCTTCCCTAGAGCAAAGGGTTGCTATTAAGAGCACATGGGTCATAGATGAGCCCAGGGGTCATGGATGAGCACAGAGGCCATGGATGAGCATAAGGGTCATGAATGAGCACAGAAGTCATGGATAAGCACAGCTCTCAGACCTCTTCAGATAAGCTCCTTTGTGCAGTGGATGGTGGTGAAGTCAGAGACTCACAACTGGTCAAGTACAGAGCAAAAATGACCATAGTGTTCTCAGCCATAAACTGGAGTCTGTTTCACAGCCCTGCCCTTCAAGATTTAGAGCAAGCACATCACACAAGAGACGGTGGGAAGGAAGGTTGTGAGAGTCAGAGGTTGGGGAGGACTGGAGTGAAAATGTCTACTGGACTTGACAGGAGGACCATTGCTCTCATATGCTCACAGCCACTGTGGTTTCCTGTATAAAACCTGCACAAGATCAAACCAGTCAACATCTCAGCACGGTTAGGAGAGTGACCCTTACTACACAAGTCCCTACTCCTAGCCAGGGAGGCACTGACAGTTGATGGCTGCTATGGGAGGGAGGTTTAGTTTTATTTAGGGGTATGACCCTGGTATGTTGACCATACTCCAGTTGATGGAGTAAATATATATATAACATAAAGTAGTTGTTTAAGGGGTATGATCAAAAAATCATTGTATGCAGGTATGCAATTCTCAGAGAATGAATAAATAGTTCAAAAAGCAAAGAGGATGGGTCAAAAGAACAGACAGGGAACTATCATGACAAAATATATGAAAAGTAAGGACATTTCCCAGAATCTGCTAGTGCTCAGAATTTCTCCAAATGGTGACGGTTTAAGACCCAGACAAGAATTTGTCATAGCAAAAGGACAGAAACTGAGGAAATTAGACCAGCATTTATCCCTTCAAGTTGAACCTGAGGGTTAAATTGAGCTTATCACTAAATTCTGTTTACCTGATGGCAGTTGATTCCTTTAAAGCCAAACAGTCTTTCCCACTTAGCCCAGGAGCCCAAGTCCTCCTGCTGCTCTGATGACTTGCATTTCTGAGTGCAGCTCCCATGCACCACAGACAGAGCAGATTCCAGTGGAGCCTGGGCCACTTCCCCGTCCCCTGTATGCACCCCTCCAAGAGGGGCCTGTGAGTCTGCCTCACATGATGGCCTAAGGCATTGCCATCCTTCTACCACGGCAGCTGAGACAGAGGTCGCCAGCCGGCACGTTATGTCCTGTCAAGACGAACATGGAGTCAGGTGCTTCTAATTTGGATGAAACATTTTTACCAGACTATGCATGGAATCACTGTGGGTGTTAAAATGAAGGTTCCCTTTCTAACCACATGAAGGATCAAAATTCCTTGGTACAATTAGGTTGATTAAATTGAGCGCTGTAACTAATATCCCTGTAGCTCAATAAAGTTACGACAGCTTTCCAGGGACCCCGACACAGAGGCAGGGAACACGGGAGCCCCTGAGAGAATCTGGCCCACTGTGGTTTTTAAATTAGAAGTTTGATTGCTTGTGACACTGTCCCAAAGAAACTGAATTTTCCATTAGCCCTGAAAAATAATGACAGATATTTAATTAACCAGCTTAGAGATTAGGCAGAAGGCTTCTTGATGGATAGAGGGGTGGATATCTCTACATGAAAAGCCAGGGAAACTCACTGGTGTACCACATCTTTAATGCAAAAAAGAATTCTCCAAGCCTAAGGGAACTCGAGATGTGTGTGCTGATTCAGCAGAAAGCTTCCTTCCCTGCCAGTCCTGAGAAAAATATACATTCAAAGCATGTTTATAAAGCACTGGGTGGCTGCTGAGGGACCTCATCTAACGCTTAAAATGTGAAATAAAAAAGCCGCTTATAACCAAATTTGACAAAGCAACCATCAAACCCGTTCACCTATTGTTGGAAGGTGATTTGTTGCAAAACAGGGTTGACAGAAGACATCTCTGAAAACAACATGATTTGTGCTCAGTGCTGGCAGGGAGGTTGTGAACAGGATCCAGTATCCCAGATGGGAACTAGCCAAGGTTTGCAGCACCCTGCAGAGGAAGATTATACTGCAGGAGTGCTGTGCACACTTTGAGACAGCCACTCGGGGTCCAAATGAAAGATTCTGGTCACCGCCATTGCCCGAATAACTCATAACCCTAATGTTCAATGAGGACTATGAAGATTTATGAAATAGGTTGGTTGGAAAGCTCTCTTAAAGCCATAGTTCTCGATTCTAGCTCCACACTAACATTTCCTGGGAAGCTTTTAGCAGCACCGATGTCTATCTAGTCCAGGTACTGGAGTTTTAAAAGTACCCATCTAGAATATCGTTGCACCAACTTCCCCCTTCCCTTTCTTTCCGTCCACGCCTCCCATAGCTTCCCCCTTCAAACCCTCCTGTATCACACGCACAAAGCAAATCCCTCTTAAATTCATGGCCTCTTTCACTATGACTATTATTGGGTGGGGAGTGTTGTGCACACATGCACTCAAATACCTTCTGATGAATCTGATTAGTGTTGCTTTTATTTACATGACTTCAGGGCTGTCCACTCAGTACTGGATAACCAATTAGAAGGCTCATCTCTGGGGAAGATCATCTCCTCCACTCTCGGCATACCTTGTTTGACTGTAGTTCTTTGTCTCGAGATGGGGCCCCATGAGGTGTCTATTGGCATTGTGACTGTTCAGGTCTTAATTAGGCAGTCATATTGTTGTGGTACAGCAGGCATGATCTTACAGCAGACCTCTGGGTCCTCTGACTCTTACAATCATTCTGCCTTCTTCTTCAGTGTTCCCTGAGCCTTAGGTGCAGGTTGTGAGTTGTGGACCTATCAAGTGAGTCTGGACACCCCACCACTAATTACTCTCTGTATGCTGAACAATTTGTGGCTTTCTGTGATGTCTCCATCTGCCACAAAGAGACGTCTCATTGATGAGAATGATATATTTGTAGGTATAAGGCTAAGTATTTAGAATGTAGTTAATGGTGACGCTGGCTTAGTAGAGTAGCAGTAGTAGATTCTCCCCAAGATCTATGACTTCACTAGCCCTGCATAGTTTGCTGGATTTCCAGTACCAGGCATGATTTCCCTCCTGTTGAGCAGGACTTAAATCCTATTAGAGAGTTCTTGGTTACCACAGATATGAGTGCCGCTACTGCACCATTAAGGGAGTCCATGAGAGTCCGAATAAAAGGATATCAAATATTTATTGGGGGAACACTCACAAATAACAATAAGGTAGAGAGTCACCTCGGTCTTCTGCCCAGGGGCGCTGGAAGCTGTGATGAAATCTCCTGCCACCACACAAAAGACAGCAAGACTGCCCCCACCTCTTACTTTTAAAGGAGTTATGTCAGCAAACAAGAAGCTCCACCTCTATCAGGTTAAATAGCCCAAGGTCATGGATGGGGCAAATACCTGCTACACCTTTATCACTAAGTATATCTTACTGCCAATTTCACCGGGCTTCAGTTTTCTTATCTGGAAAGAGCTGATGATGGTAACTCCTTAGAAGTCTTCTAAGGAATAAATAAGGACATTAAATAGATGTATGCCTGGAACACAAAACTGCCCCCCCAAGACAAATTCATTTTCTTCTTCTTGGTTAGTGGGAATAATGAATTCATGTTTACTTCCCTCCAGTGGTTTTTTCTATTGACCTGTGTGACATTCCTCTACAATCCACTGCTCTTTGGTATCTGGGAGAAATTCACTCATGTATCTTTCATACTTTCTGCTCCCCCAGCTGCCACAGAAGTGTCCTTTTCATTTGATGTTGGAAACGGGCCAGTGGAGATTGTGGTGAGGTCACCTTCCCCTCTCAATGATGACCAGTGGCATCGGGTCACTGCAGAGAGGAACGTCAAACAGGCCAGTCTCCAGGTGGATCGCCTGCCCCAGCAGATCCGAAAAGCCCCAACTGAAGGTCACACCCGCCTGGAACTCTACAGCCAGCTGTTTGTTGGTGAGTGAATGGAAAAATAATCATGATTTATCTCTCTGTTGGTTTAGAACCTTCACGTGGGAAAAAAACAGTCTATGGAAGAATAGAGGTCCTTCTCACAGTGTCTAGGCCCCATTTCTTCTCTAAGACAGACATAAAGGAATGAGGAAGATACTGGAGAAGCTGCAATATGGCTTCATGTCCCATTCTCTGTCACAGTGTCCTCAACTAAAAGGTCAGAGTGTAGGCAGGGACATCTCAAAAGGCGTCTCTAGTTTCTGAAACTTTAGGCTTATGATTTCAAAACTGTATGATTTTATCATTTATAAAACTTAAGAATGGGTGGGAAGGAAGGAGGAAGGAAGGAGGGAGGGAGGGAAGGAGGAAGAGGGAGAGAGGGAGGAAGGGATGAAATGATAGAGAAAGAGGAGTAAAGTAAGGAGAGAAAAAGGAAATGAACCAGGTTCAAATTTGCCTTAAAAGATAGATAGGAATCATTCTTTTCTCTGCCAGGGATCTAGACAGAAAAGGAAGTCCCTCTTCATGGAGAAGAGGTTGATGTTTAATTCACACACACACACACACACACACACACACACAAAAAAAAAAAAAAAAAAAAAAAAAAAAAAAAAAAAAGACCTGTGAGAAGACTGGATCCAGCCACACAGCCTAATCTTCTTCACCAATTGAGAATTTCATGCATGAATACAAAGTGCTTAGATCATTCCAACTCTATTTCCTCTCCTCCAATTTCTCTTGTATCCTCCCATCACTTTTCCTTCTGAAATTCATATGTTCTTTTTTAAACATAGTGAATCCACTTAGTGCTCCAATATGTACTTGGATGTAGGGTCATCTTTTGAAGCTGAGTAGCCTGTCTGGGGCCACACGCCTGAAGAAACTGACTCTCCTCACAGCGGCCAACAATTGGCAATAGGTTCTCAGCTAAGGGAAGGACTTATTGGCCCTTCCTTCATCCATATTGGGAGTTTTGTCTGGCTTTATCTTATGTATGTCTTGTGTGTGCAGTCACAGCCACCATGAGTTCATGTGTACAATTGCCCTGATGTGTCTGTGAAACACTGTTTCACTGAAGTCATCCACTACACCTGACTCTTACAGTCTCTCCACCCTTTCAAGATGATCCCTGAGGCAGTATTTCTACTTTTAACATACCCCAGATTAACTCAAACTTACTTCAAGGTAATAATTCTTGACATGGCTAGTCGAATTTTTGGTATTTTCATCTAATACTATCCATACTGTAGGAAATTAGCAACATTTCCTTAATTGCATAAAAAGAAACTGAGTTTGAAGGACTTGGTTAAACTCCACGTCCTTTAAGTTAAACCAGCTTAAACTCCCTATCTCAGTTTCTGGGGGTTCATTGTCCAATTCTTTCACCTTGTGGCAATCACCCATCAAGAAAACATTGGTATGACCTAGTTGCTGGTCAGTTCATCAATACCTGTCTCCTGGAAGTAGAAACTCCCCAATGGTTAGTTGACGTTAAGAAGAGCCAGATCCCCTAAATATCTTTCATGATTGTGTTATGATACACGGAAAAATATTAGAAAGCTATTTTTGAAAAGACAAAATTAGCCATACACTCCTCTGGTGTATTTTAGGCCAACTACAGGACAACAATGATAGAAAATCGATCACTGAAAGTGAGACTGCTTTGTGAATAAGCCACATGAGTCTGAGGCCACGGAAGGAGTGATATGTTTGAAAATACTCACCAGCTATGCCATTCCTTCAGACCCACCTGGGGGAATCTAAGTTACGGGTGTTTAATATCAAACTACTCATGATAGGCAAGTTACAGAACCAGCAGTATATATCAACAGATGGACAGAAAATATGACATATATACATAACAGAGACTTACTCAGTCATAAGGAAGAATAAAATTATGTCAGTTACAAGAAATGGATGCAGCAAGGATCATCATATTAAGCAAAATGCATCAGACACAGAAAGACAAACATCACATGTTTTCTCTCATTTTTAGATCCTGTATTTTGTAAAAATCATCATCATAATCATCTTTATAGATCTGACATGAAAGCAAAAAAAATAAGTCTGTCTAGAGGAATGAATAGGAATAGTAGTACAGAGCATGAGAGAAATGGTGTGAACACAGTCAAGATATATGGTAGACTTCATGGAACCCATCACTATGTGCAATGAATACACACCAATTTTTAAAATTCCAGAAAATTCCAGTCTTTCCTTGAGTGGTATGTCACAAATTATACATTTTCCTTTACATTAGCTAAATAAAGAGTCCATTGATTCCTACTGGACACAGTGAGTACATTTTACTTCATCAACATACCATGTCCTAATGACCTGATCCAAGCTTCTTCCTAAATTCTACCCATCCTCGGAATGCTGGGAATTGTCTGCTTGAGTTATGTCATAACGGACTCCACTTGGCTCATCTTCTTGAACTTTCTTCTGGATGGAGAGATCCAATGCTAGTTTTATTCCCTTTCTTCCCACTCACTAGAGTTGCCAAAGAGAATGCTAGAGACTTTCTAAGACTGGAAAATGAAAAACAATTGGAGTATTTACTAGGAAGACATGCTGATTCATTTGAAGAGCATGACCTAAAAATAATTTATTAGAAGAAAAGAGAAATGGAGTGAAGTTTGAATTCCTCACAACATTGAAATATAAGGGACAGGCAGAATAAAACCTCGCTAGAATAAAGGAGAAAAAAAAGTACAAAAAGCTCTCTAAGTAAAATGAGGAGAAGGTAATGTCTCCAGAGGAGAAATTTTATGAAAAAGACAGTATCAAATAATACCAAGGATCATTAATTTCTTAAAGCTAGAATCTTTGGATCTAACAATGATGAAACCATTGATGACCTTACAAAAAGATGTTTCCAGAGAGTGAACTAATATGATGGGTTAGCAACTTATTGTCACTTGGTAACAAAGGCTAAGTCCCCAGTTCCAGTTTTCAATTTCCTTTTATCTTAGAGGTGGGCACAAAGCATGTCTCCCACATGTGAGCTAGCTGAGGCAACCCAGAGACTATTTTTCTACAGTAAAGGCCCAGCCCGGGGTGGGCAGAGAGGAGCATTATCCCCAAAAGAAGGACACATTTAACAGCTCTGAAGTCAGCAAGCTCGGCCTTAGTCTCGGTTCAACTCTAATAAAAACTTATTTTTTTCTCTTTTTACTAACTACCACTACCTCTCCTACCTTTCCTCGTATGCCTAGGGAAAGAGTTAGATAATTTACCCCCAAGTTTCTTTGCACCTTAAACACTTATTGATATGTGCTTGGTAGGGGTTGACCATGGCCTGGGTGGCTAAGTGACCAACATTCCCCACAAGATTGCTTGGTTACCAACATGGTGTTTGAATCCTTCCCCTGCCTCTTGCCAACTGTGGAGACCAATGATAATTCATTTAATAGCTGTGTGTTTAACAGGAATACAATTTCTGTCACTTAAGATTCAATGAGGTTATTACATATAAATTCCTTAACAGGATACGTGGAATACAGTCAATACAACCTTAATGTGAAATTCTTTTCTTCATACCCTTTACTTTTTACTCCCTCTATTTTCTTCTCCCCCTGTGCACTAAAGGAACCTCTCCTTGCCAGCTCAGTCTATTCCTTCTCAAAACACCTCTCGAGATGGGATTACCCCTCAGAGCCTGCCCTAACAGAACATTCTCATGCAAAACTGTCCCTCAGCACTTCACCTACACCTGTGACAGTGGCCCTAGGGCAGCAAGCTACGACCAAGGGTTTCCCCCTCTGGGGCAACAAAGCACACAAAAGTCTATCAGAAAAATTTCTCCCCAGTGTCACTGTGTGCACTAAGACAAGGGACAGCATCACCCATGTGCTCCCTCAGAGATCTCTGGAAGAAGTGCTTTGCCACAACTTAAGTCTGAAAGAATCAGAAGAGAGTTCTTAGCTTTGCCCATAGAGTGGATGCCACAGAGGCCCAGCCTCCACCACTCCTTGTGCTAACAAGGCCAGGTTCACAATTTTTTAAGCAACTGGAGAAACAGAAAAGACATGTTCTCACTGTGCAGCTAAATATAATTGGAACCTGTCATCCCAAAAGAGCTAATGCAGGTCACTTGGAGGAGATAAGAATCAGCCATGATTCTGGTCTAGTAGAAAAGTAGGAGGGAAAAATTACTAAAATTGATGCAAGAAGGAAAAAGCAATTGCTGGTATTTCTTCTGAATGGTATGAGAAAGTTTTCCCTGTTTTTTGGCACAAAAATTAGGAGCTAGCATATGACAATACATCAACATGGCCTGGCAGATGTATTTACACTGCATGGTAACTAGAGCCTCAAACAGGTTTTGTTCAGACCTCAGTCCTATATTGAATCCATAGGTTAGAGCTTTCTTAGGGGGACAAAAAATAGCAAACATCATACCCATGCTGTTATCTAAGCCTGAAGGAGGCTAGGTCAACCCAAATTGCTCTGACACAGAGAAGTACCAGAGAGTCTGAGGTCCAGGCAGCCAGGACCCCAGTGACAGCTGAGGAAGAAGGAGGTGTATGTTGGGCTCCACTATGGACGTCTATTGTTGGTCCTATTGGCAAGTACATGCAATAGAAGGGAGATGAGCAGACTTGTAGAGCCCAGGCTAGGAAATAGGTCACCTCCAGTCAGCAAGATACATGAACCACCATAGGTGACTCTTAAGCAGAAGTTTAAAGAAAAAAGTCAGAGATCTGAAGTCTGTTTTACCAAGCTTCAGGTAGACATTAACTGATCAGAGGCTCCTAAAGAGGAAGGCTGGATCCATTTAACTAATAACCAATGTCCAGGCTCACAGCACATAGCTTAGAGTACCTTGGAAGTTAAACAGTGACATCTCTGTGAAAGATGTGGCCCAAAGGATCTGAGAAATCTGTCTTGGGCCTCAAGTTCTTTTGAGTTATGTGAGGAGCCCAACTTAATACATGTCGGGAGAGCCATTGTCTACAGAACAACTCTCAGGGATGCCTCTTCCTCCCCTAACAGTATTT